TTGTTCCTCTGGCCCGGGGCCACTGGGCTCCCGGCTCTACTCCCTGCTGCCAGCCTTCCCGGGCTTTCTAGTCCATCAGTATTCAAAATGTATACTTAAATTGATGTTTGAGTTCTCCTGAATTGGATCAATACTCTCTCAAATATGCCTTCTCATCTGAAGGAAAGTGGACACCATATCCCTTTGATCAAGAAAGCCTTTTTTATTATTATTATTATTATTTCGGACTAAGACATTGACGAATTCAGTAATTCTTCATACAACCTTTGGGCGGGGCCACTGATTTATTGGTTTAAGCCCTACTTAGTGATGCCACAATGTTCACCCTTACAAAACACTATAGTTTGGCCAATGGGAGAACATCGTGGTGGATCTAGAGATGACGCTTATGGGCTATAGGCAGTAGAGAGATGAGGTACAGAATAGGGGTGGAGAAGATCTCTGAGCAAGGAGGATGGGTTGGCTTTGGCAGCATTAAGTGCGGAGAGGAATAGTTTGTGAATGAGAGTTTGGCTGAATTATGGTGGAGTTAGAGACAATAGTGGTAGAGAGAGAGAGTGAGAGCTATGTTGGAGAGGGAGGTGTTAGGACAAGGAGAGAATAAGAGGTCAAACATAAATACAATTTTTCTTCTTGCTGCTCCTTGCTGTCAAGCATCTCAATTTTCATTCTGAAAGGAGGTGTAATTGGAGGAGTGGAAAGAGCATTTCACTTTCTTTTCACTTCCTTTATCACATACCAAACATTTTCTTGTGGTACATCCAACAATGGTGTCCCAATTTTTCAGTTTGAAAATATGCCCTCCTCTGCAAGGTGGGAAGGATACTGTGGATGACAGAGAGGAAGATGAGCAGCTTGCTATCCATGACCTCAGCATATATTTTAGGACCAGTTGCTCTTTCTTCAACGATGAGCATAAAGTGAATCTACATGTCTAGTGTAAACAGGCTAGGAAATAAGATGTTAGCTCAGCTTTCAGAACATCAGTTCTGAGAGCTCTTTCTACCAAGTTAAGATGGCGCCAGTGTTTCCATTGTAGAAATCTGCAGAACAACAACTTGGAATTCAGCACGTATGCTTGCAGAATATTGTTCATAAAAGGCACATCTGATGCTTATTTGCGAGAGTGAGTCTGCAACTCTTGTTTATTTAGAAAGCTTCAGTTCACTTTCTTGGGGCTTGTGGTGCTTGCTAAACTCCCAAACGTGTGAGTTTAGTTGAAGAAGAAATGGGTACTTGCCATAAAAACTGAAGTTTCTGTGGACATTGCTGCTGCTTATTGTACTTCATGCCCACCTTTCTCTTTCCTCAGAATTTTTTGGAATGCCAACCATTCAGTGCTGCAAGAGGGTGCTTATACTGCTCCAACGGGTACCACTTTTCTGTAGTCCAGTGGCATGTAGGAGGAGAGGAGGCACATCCCTCAAGTGAGACTAGAGAGCAGGGACAGGCAAGATACAGCCTGAGGGCTGGATCCAGCCCACCAAGCTTTTTGATCTGGTTCGTGCCCATCCCTGCAGCAGGGAGCGGTGCCGATCAAAGCAGCTAGCTGTTGCGTGGCACTTTGGGGAGCAGGGAGGGG